TTGCGAGGTTGCAGAACTTTAATCAATGTTTAATTAATCAACTTACAATCTTTATCAAATGGTGGGCTTTAAAGACTCAGGATAAAGGTAAAAATGTAACTTTCACACGGCTGGTTTCTTGTGTAATCTTTTGTCCTTGTTTAAGCTAACCCTTTTTAAAACGTTTTTATAAATCTGCATATTCAAGACAGCTACAGATGCATATCCAAAAGTTGTAAACACTTACACCTTGATCATAACAACTGGAAATTGTTGGCACGTCACGGCCTTGAAAACTCAATCAGCTGTCTCACTTTGTAGCCCAGAAGTTCAACAAACAAGCTAAACTTTATCCATAAGATGTTAATAGCGACTCCCTCTTATTGAGCTTTTTTTTACAAGAAGGAAATCTATTCTATGAGGGCCCGCGATTGAATGCAGTTCAGGGCCCTCAATACAGTAAAACAGTGAGGGTCTCAAGGTTTGATCAGACAATTAATGGCTGTTTCTCCCATAAGAGAGACACTTACAGCACCTTGGGGGAGCGTTAATGGGGTTGCACTGGACAATAACTCCTGTGAGGCACTTCCACTCCCCTTCCCTGTACTACTTTTACGGGCTAAACAAGAAGATGAAAGGAGGGGGTGTTAGGAGGAGGACCATCGGGGCGGCTGCATCCTTCAGCCTCCTCAAAGTCAGCTAGGCGGCTATTAACCTTGAGTTGGACTGCATCGAGCAAAAAATTATTAGGCAAAGTTATAATTTTATGGTGGTGTGGGAGCGGTACAAATAAATTCATGCTGGCGGGACAGGGTAATTGGAGGGCCTGGTAATAGGGTCCCCCCGAATGAACCCAGGTGTGAGGGGAAAGAAGTTCCAGCCCTACTCCCCCAGGTGATTTATCCCTCATTCTTCAGGCCCGGGGAGTGACTCATAGCCCTCAGCCACTTGGGCAGCCGGCCCAGCACTTTTAATTATGAGCCGATGTCAGGAGGAACTGAAGCAGGGAGAAGGAGAGGGAGGAGGAGATTGAGAAGGGGGGTTAAGGGAGGGATAAAACCAAGCTGGCTCGTGGCCCCCACTTCAGGGGCCTCTCCGCTAAAGCTCTTTAGCCGCGCAGATGACAGTAAGCGGGGCGGAGGAGTAGCGAGCGGGTGAGAGGTGCCAAGCTCGGGCGCTTTATCTCGTTAGCAGCCTTAAATGCCATGCCGACGCGCCCTCCGATTTGTCATTCCAGCTATTGGTCTCTGAGGGATTTGAGAGGTGCTCTGCGAGTTAAAAGAGACATTTCCACCCTGCATTATGCTTAATGGGAGGTGGAGAGGCCAGCAGGCTTATGGATACAGCAGAAGCTATCGGGGCTGAAATGCCAATCGAAAAAGCATTTTTCATATTACAGGTTCAGACTTAGAGGAATGGATGTAGGCCAGGAAACGTATGCAGAGTGGAAAAGACAATGAGCATCATGAAGAAAACAGACTGCAACGACTGAATCTGAGATTTAAAAAGTAGGGTCATCTCAAAGACCATGAACTGAAAGACAGACGATCTCTATTGGTGTACAGCTTTGAATTCTCTCTGACCTTTAGATCAGCTAACAAAGGTCACTGAAGTTTATTTTTACATTGTAACAACACGATTAAAAATGATCTTTGCTTTTAGTACTGAAAGTAGAGAGTTGTAATGACAGCAATCTTAAGTCGTTTACACTTGTACACTCCTGAAAGTATCTAGATCGTAACAGGAGGAAAGCTCTGGAGAGTCTCCTGATCTGGCTGCTCACATATGCTCCTCACAGTGGGAGACTATCCTGGTCAGACTGGAGGGGGTCTCCTGACGTAAGACATGACGTTCTCACATCGGCCCACTCGGACTTGCTGAAGGAAAAATATTCTGGGAACTCCTGGACTATTTTACAACCTAAATTTGAGCACTTTTATCCCTTATGGACACTTTAGAAATATTATTTTTAACCGCCCAATACCTGCCTGTAACTGTTTTATTTGATTTTAATTGCTGACTTATTATTGTAGTAATTTCAAGATTTTTAAATTAATTTAGTGTATATATTTTATTGTTCTTATTGCTCTTTTATTGATTTTATTTTCTCGGGTAGCTTTATCTCATTTTGTTTAACTCGTTGTTTGTCATTTATGTATGTTTTCTCGGCATCATTGTAAATGAGTCAACGATCTCTCCGAGAACTTAAATAAAGGTTGACGATGACATACAGCTTCGGGAAACATCAGGTGTTTTCAGGAGATTTCTGCAAGTGTGAAAGCTCTATTATAGGTTTTTTGTTCCCACGCTACACTTAGGTGGTCAAAATGTTCAATACTTGAATTCAACCTTTTTTAATCGATCGATGATCAATGGTATTAAAAAAAGTGTCAGATCTTTGGAGATATTTTTTAACCAAAAGCTGCTGTCACAAGATAAGCACAGAGAATTCTCTGTCTGAATTGCGCAAAAATGTTGGCAATGTCTTGGTACCAAAAAGTTACCAACTGATTTATGCGATCTGGACAGTGTGCCTGCAATTTTTGTTAAAGAAACAAAAAAGAGAAACTACCCGATATTGGATGCCTAGGACTTCAGGCATATAATACTCCTATTTTAATGCCTGTTTGTTAACATTTTTATCTTTATTTTGTTATTGCTGCAAATTTGTTCTACATATTGTGCTTCCTCATATTGACAAAATCATTACAAAGGAAGCAGAATGATTTTGCATTCCTAAATGTGATTTTACATGATGAAGGATTTCACTTCATTTCTCTTATTAATACAGACCTATTTGTTATGACATCACACAATTGCAGCAAAAGTTGTATGCAGCCTTAAAGCGCTGAACCCATGAATAAATAATAAGGACAAAAATGACTTTCATTACATTTATTTAAAAATTGTCACATTTACTCTGCTATCAGAGAATTCGCCTCGCTGGTTTTCTTGTGTTGCCAGAGAGAATGTGAAAGTGTGAAGAGGAGTATATTCAGCTACTAACAGTGTGTGTGATAAGAAATCACACAGATCGACTGGGATGCATTGTCACCATTCCCAACTAGCTCTGAATTAGATTCGCTACACAAGACTTGGATTGAGCTGCGTCTGCATTCAGTGCCAGACCGTTTTCACACCAAAGTGTGCCAGAAAATAGGCTCCTTTTTTTTTCAAGCAGAAATTCTCTCTCTCTCCCTCTCTTTCTCTCTCTCTCCCTCTTTTCTATCTTTCTTTTTTCCTCAATCACTTATAGCCAACTGTTTCCGTCATCTGTCTCTGTAATAACCTCTGCAAGATGTGCGCGCAAGCTCATCTTAGAGGAGCATGTACACCCACGCACACGCCCACGCACACACATGCCAACACACAGAGACCTGCAGAGAAACCATGAATAAGCACACAACATCAATTAACAATTGAAACAAAAGACATTTACTGAAAATTAAGCACTATAAACCACTTAGAGCTAAAGAAAGGAAGAAAGAAATTCTCATTTTGAGAAAATTGGGAATTAATGTGGGTTGAGTCCTTATTCCAGTAAAAACTACAAAAGTTATTATTCAAGCTTCTTAATCTACAATTCTACAATTCATTTAGAAGAATTTTTTAACCGAAGTGACGTACATCAGAGAGTAAGTACAACACAAGCAAGGATCTAGAAAAAAGGAAACAATGTCAGTAAGAGCAAATGATCAGCTTTGAGTCCGATTGGACACACAGGTGCTGACAGGAAGTGACCAGAGGCAAAGCACAACATTGAGGGCAGTTCTTGAGAGCTCTAATCAGTATAGAAACCATCTTATAAGTCGTCGTTATCAAACAATGGTCATTACCATCATCATCATCAATAATATGGAGACCATCATCATTAAGTGAGTAGGTATTCATGAAAGAGCTGGGTCTTTAGCTTTTTCTTAAAGGTGCAGAGGGACTCTGCAGATCGAATGGAGTTTGGAAGTTCATTCCACCACCGGGGGGCGACAGAGGAGAAGAGTCTAGTCAGCGTCTTAGGACCCTGTTGTGAAGGTTGGATCAGACACCTTTCATTGGCAGAGCGTAGTGGGTGGGAGGGAGTGTAGACCTGGATTATAGAGTTTAGGTAATGAGGAGACGTTTTTGTGGCTGTTTTGTAAGCGAGCAGCAGAGTTTTAAATTTGATGCGAGCAGTAACTGGGAGCCAGTGGAGGAAGATAAACAGCAGAGTGACATGTGCCCTTTTAGGAAGGTTGAAGACCAGTTGTGCTGCTGCATTTTGTATCATCTGCAGGGGGTTGATAGTGCATGTAGGAAGACCTGCCAGTAGGGACTAGTGAATGCGTGATATCACAAGAGCCTGTACCAGGAGCTGTGTAGCATGCGCTGACACGTCCTGATGTTGTACAGGACTGGTCAAATCTAGAGATCATTATAATATTCAATCACTAGTTGACAAAGAAATCATTTCAGCCACTGGCAAATATTTATAACTGTAGCATTTTCAAGGTATCAAGATGTTTCATAGTGCAAATAATATATTAAAGTTATAGAAGCATTATATTGAATATAAAAAACACATAACATCTACATTACATGTAAGATGTCACCTCTGTGTCTTCCCATACTTAACACTGCTGACCCATTTCACACTTGAGTCTCACAATATCAGTAATGAGAGTCTGACTACTTGGTTTGGATTAAGTTGCTTCTTTTTTTTTTTGGCAATATTTTAAGAGTGTTTACTCCATTCAACATACAGTATGTGTGTCAATTGCTGCAACTATGAGCCCAGCAAAAGCAGAATCACATATCTCTAAGGAATAAAGACTCATGAAATACAAAGAACAACACTTACTGAAACTTATTATTAAAAGATCATTAATGGGGAAAAAGCTAAATGGGTACACAGACAGAAATAGACCTGTAAAGAGCTTCTTTATCCAGCTTTAAATGTTATGAGATGTCAGAGAGAAGCTTTTATTTGTTACCTGGTTGTCAAATTTCAGTGACTGAGTACCGACGAGAAAACGAATGGCATCAGTTTCAGCTGTCTGGGCTGTAAGTGCACGAGCCTGCAAAGCACAAACATAATGATATTATGATCCTTTTACATAACAACATAATAGATTTTTTGTTGTACAATATTCAGATACAAACCTTAAGGCACATTTTCCACAACTACATTACACAGTAGCGCTGGTGTTGAAACAGAATGAAACACAAACAAAACGTGCAAACATTGTGTCTCAATGAGAGTCTCAATCTACTAACATATACAAATCAAGTAAGACAGCAAGTTTCCGTCCGTTTTTGTCCATCATATATTGAAGAGATTTCCCAAAAAGTTTGAGTTCATTCTTCCATCCGATGAAATGGGGTCGGACCTTTAAGTATTTACATCTGTCAATTAAATTGTTTACCAAGAATTCTACATTGTTCTCCTGCATAAATACTCCAGTTGATTTTTTTTGCATTCATTTATTTTAATTTAAAAAATATAACAACAAAAAACAGCAACACACATAAAAAAAACACGCACACAAACCCAAAACAAAACAGACCAAAACAAAAAAGTGACACACACATCACCAATGACATAACTATGATTTACTTTCAGCTTTTGCAACCAAAATAATGTTTACATGCATCCCCTTTTCATTATATATTTTATTAAATTAAGATATCACGACATTTTCCCATGCCAACCTGTATCTAAAACATCCTCCATCACGTGTTGTCATGGAAACCATCTGTCAAGGAATTTTGAATTTTGCAGTCTTATTTTGAAAGTTATCTTTTCCATTATGTAAATTCCTTTGACAAGTAATTTCCAAGACTCGTGGGTTGGAGGGTCTCTCTTAAGCCAGTTCAATGTTATTGTCTTCTTGGCTGCTACGAGAAGTACATGTCATAAATAAATCTTATTTCTGCTTTTCATCCCCGATGATGGCCAGTATATATCCAGTTTTAATAGACATAACATTGAGAGGCTGCAAAGTAATGTCTCTGTAGTGTAACTAGCTCTGAAATGCAAACCAAAAACTCCTGTACAAGTTCACAATGGAAGAAAACATTTTCTACTGTCTCAATATCTCTCTCGCAAAATCCACATGTGTTAATGTCCAAATGGAATCTCACATGCAAGAAGTGATTAGATGGATAGATTTAATTTAAAATTGTGAAGGTTACTTCTTTAGCTTTCTGCAGGAAACAACATAATAGATTGCGGAGATGAATAATTGACATGTCTTACATTGGGACAAAATGACATACGATGGAAAATCTAAAAACGTCTCACAGACAGATACAGTAATATGAAATAGAGCTAGCATCCACTAGCACATAATGTAAACATCAATGAATGGTGTGACAGATCAGTAGCAGCTTGTACCTGAAACTCGAGTCCGTAAATGACAGGAGCGTCGTCCTCCATTTCTTAACCGGAAGTCTCGCCTCTAATCTTTCTGTTAATTTGTAGTCTGGCGATAAAAACACTTTAAAAATTGACACTGTTCCTGCGTACTGTACAAAAAAACATCAACACAGAATCTGAACTTCCGCGATTTAGAAACTGGGTTGGAAAAAGGGTGCAAGTAAAAGTGCGTAACAGACAACGGGTATCGTTATGTTGGTTTCTAAATGAACGTAGAAGAGTCAGGAATATCAAAAATCACGTTGCCATGAAAATTGTCTGCTCTGGGACACCGTACCTGTAGCTGCAGATCAGAACTGCGCATGCGTACTAGAGTTCTGACTGTCATTCTGCAGTAAGGTGAGTAAATTAAACATTATCACATAATTCTTGCACTTTTTTGTCATTTTATATGGTTATGAACAGCACGTTAGTATGTGTCGTGTTTTTGTAAAGCGTCAACAACTATAATTGAAACATGAATAACCTTTTGAACCGACTGTTGTTACACCAATGTTAGCTAACGCTATCCAACCGGTGTTACGTTTTAACGAGTGACCGTGTTAACTGGCGACTTCCACTTCAATAATCTCTGTTTAGTGTTTCACTTAAGACGCATATAGTGGGTATATCTTGACATTTAAACAAAAAGCTTTACAAGGAGTATTCGTGTGGACACGTTCCGTCTTCAACATCTGCCGTAACTACGACAACCACGAAAGCATTCAGCTGAAAGTTGCCAGTTAACAGGGTCACAAATTAAACCGTAACACCGGCTAATGTAGCATTAGCATGCTAGCATTATTAAGAAAATCAGCAGATTGCTCGGGTAATGATTTAAAGCACGAATAATAAGGCGAGAGTCTAACTCTCTTTCATGTTTAATGTTTGAGTGTTGGGATGTAACAACTCTGTACGCTGTACAGTGTTGAATATTTGTCACTCACTGTTGGTATAAAATCATAAGGTTTATGTATTTCTGTGTTTAATTGTAAAGAGCAGAAAGATGGATAGTGATGAGGCTCCAGCTCAGCGGCCTGTCACCTTGGACATCATTGTAGAAGATGTGACCCCGGACCCAGACCCTCTGGTGCCAACCACTAGCCAGACCCCCTCCAGAGATGCCCTCCTTCCCCAGGAAGACAGCATCGACCTAGGTGGGGAGTTTGTCACCCCCCAGGAGGACAGCAGCGCTACACCTTCAGAGAGCCTGATGGACAAGCTCAACGACCAGATGATGGAGAGTGTCATGATTTCTGACTCACCTAATTACAGTGAGGAGGACGATGTAGCTCCCATTGACTCCTTTCTAGATGGAGGAATTGAGGAGGAGGAGGAGGAGGGGGAGGAGGAGGAGGAGGAGGAGGATAAGACACAAGGGACTTTAGGGGGCACACAGGAACAAAGTGAAATTGGACATAATACAACTGAGATTACAGTTTCAGTGGAGGAACACGAAAAAGGTGGTGATGACGGCAAAGTAGACGAAGACACGAAGGAGCAGATCGAAACACAAGAGCACGTTTCAGCTTTTGGTCCTCCACAAGGTGACATTCAGAGCCCGACTGATGCTATAGAAATGGAACCAGCACTACAAGAAGCTAAAGGGACTGGCCCAAAAGAAGAGTCTGTTCCTGTGTGCACCATATTCAGCCATGGAACGCAGCCGAGGTCTCTGGTACCTGATGGCTTCCAGCCCACTCTCATCAAGTCCCCCAGCTTCAGCATGGGAAGTAGTGGGCCAAGCACTGAGGCAGTGACCCCCAGCAAACTGACACCCCCCCTTGTATGTCAGCCCAGCCCCAGCCTCAGTAAGTTCTTCTCTGACAATGGGCAGTGCAATCCAGCCACTGATTTCTTTGATTCCTTCACTGTCCCCTCCTCCTTTATCTCAGTTTCTAACCCAAATGCTGATGTTGCTCCTGGCTCCAGCCCAGCACCCACTGCCCCTACCCCTGAGCGCCAGCTCTCCTCCACCTCCTCTCCATCTCCACCCCTGGGGGACTTCTGGACTCTGGTGCTCCCACCCCTAGCTCGGTGTTCTCCCCTGTCCCTACTGAAGCAACCACTAAAACCCAGCCTCCTTCAGTTCAAGCAGTCCCAGCTCCATCTCAGACCCCGGCCAATCAGCCACAGCCCTTCAACCAGCTGCAGGCCGTGTTCTCAGGCAATGATGACCCTTTTGCGAAAGCTTTGAGTCTGAGTGAAGTGGACAGACGCTATGATGCCTGGCTGCCATCTGAGGAGACCAGGAAGGTGTTGATTTCTGTTGCCACCCAGCAGTACAACCCGGCTTATGTGGAGACCAACAGATTCACCATGCCAGGACTCAAGTTTGACAACCTGCAGGTAATCATTAATTTTCTACTACCAAATATATTCCTTTAGAAAGCCCTTCTGTCGTCCAGTTCTTGCTCACTAAGAACCAGGTTTTAGCAAAAAATTGGAAAAACTTTAAAGCTGGATTAAAAATGACATTTTTTGCTCTATGTTTTTTTTCTCCTTTTTTAGTTTGATATTGTTTCATTGATTGTAATTTTGTCCAAATCAATTAATAGCTGTGTCAGGAGTTTAATGGCCACCCAACCTTTTAACACCATGCAGTTTGAGCTCAGATTTTAAGTAGAGCTAAATTCTGTGTGTGTGTTTGGTTTTAGGGTGATGCTGTTAAAGACCTCATGCTTCGTTTCCTGGGAGAACAAGCAGCAATGAAGCGACAGGTCCTCACTGCCAACTCTGTGGAACAGTCCTTCAATGGCCTTAAACAGCTCATCGTAAGTCACTAACTTTACTTTGTGTATAGAAAAATGTGCTTTAACGCACTTCCGAGGCTCGCTGCATCACAAACTGTGTTTAGAGGCACTGGTCCACCCTGATGTTTATTTTATTATTAAACCGACTTTTTATACACTAGTTATTGAAAATGAGAACCTAGTGATCGCATCAGGATGTGTGGATCTAGCATCATGACATGTTTATATAATGACTTTGCACGTCCTGCAGTGGGACCTTTGCACATGTATGGAGGGCTGCATACCCGAATGAGTTTTGTCAATAATGTCTGGACAAATGAGCGAGAATTCGGCAAAGTTTTATCAGATACTGTTTAAAATGAACTTGATTGAGGCATCTTTATATTGTTAGATCTTTTTTTTTTTTCTTTTTTTTTTGGGGCTTTTTGTGCCTTAATTGGAGGGATGGGGATAGTGGGAGATGGAAATCAGGGAGAGAGAGTGAGGATCAACATGCGGGAAGGGAGTCACAGGCCGGACTTTTAATGTGTTGAATGAGAAACGGTCCAAGCACAGAAGAAAATAAAATATACATTACGAGTTGTTTCATATTGTCAAGTCTTGTGGCATCCTGCTCAACAGCATATAGTGGAACAGCTTACAACAGCTTCAGTGACTTTTGGTTGTGTGCTTTTTTTTGGGACCATTACCTCTCTTTCTAAAGGTTAATGACAAAACCACTGTTAGGTTACTGCGGCCTCACATCCCGTGGTTACTGCAGCTCGCCTGACCTTCTGACAGTCAACCTGTACAGTCAGTGATTCTACTGAAACTGCAGGGTGGTCAGGACTCGGCTGACTGATAACAGTGAATCCTTCGGCTCCTTTCTTACCCTAACCCTTCATATTACATCCCTCTGCTGTTCTTCTGCAGAGCATATAAATCTGTCGTTCCATGTGACTCTCCAGCCCTCATGCGTTGCCTCCATCGTATTATCTGACCCACAGCTGACCCTCAGAGACGGTTGTTATTTAAAACATATGCACAGCAGCAGCAGACAGTGTGATGCAGAGAGGGGAAAGAGGAGAGGAGGGTGGAGTGAAGTGGCGGGATGGAGAGGTGGAGATCCACTTGGCTCACAAGTTCTTTTCTCCTGCTGTGCCCATGTATTATGCATGGGGCTGCTGTGCATATTTCAAGGGCCTTCTGGACTTGGTGTATACACACACACACACAAACAAGGTGGTACTCTCAGCTTGCAGTCAACTGCACTATATTGTGTAGGTGTGTGTGTGTGTGTATGTAAGAAGATCATACGCCGTCTGCCAATTGGTGTGGGTGGCTCCCTGGAGCAGAAGGCAAAAGAAAAAGACGGTGAGCTGGAGAGGTAACGCATGCCTACAGGAGAGATGTCAAAAATTGACAAGCTAAAAAACATGGAGAAATGCGTGAGAGGTATAGAAGCAGAGGAGGCTACACCTGGATCTAAGCAGTAAACACTTACACACCGACACCGACACACACACACATGCACACTCGGGAATTTGGAGGCTTGATTATCATATTGATATGTTATGAAGTAACATGAGCATTAGTTTCTTCTGCATTAGTACTGTAGATGACTTTTTTTTACTTCAAGAGGTAATTTAGCAAGCCGGTGAGACGCTTGTTTTCCAGAGATTTACAAAAGCACCGACTGAGGGTCAGACATAGAAACAATTCCAGCTGACTTTATTTAAGGTTTCAAGCCACACCACCTTCCTTAGTAAAAACAGAGAAGATAGTGTGGCACAAGCTGAGCAACTAGAAATGGGGCGGCTGTGGCTCAGTTGGTAGTGTCGGTCATCTCTCAACCAGAAGGTTGGTGGTTCAATCCACAGCTCCCGCAGCTACATGTCCAATGTGTCTTTGGGCAAAACACTTAACCCTGAATTGCTTCCGCTGCTTCATCGTCAGCGTATAAATGTGTCAGAAGACTAGAAAAGCGCTATACAAGCTCAAACCCATTTACCAAATCAGCAAAGCAAACCTCAGCTCAGCCCTTCTAAGAGCCTGTAAGAAGGAGTGTTACAAAACAGAATATTTCAACTTGGAAGTGCCTATTCTGTGTTATTGTTTAGGTTAAATAACCCAAAGTATTATGTCAGCTAGAAGGAGACTTCCATGGACAATTCAGCTTCAAGTAAAGACAATGTGAATGATGAATACTGAAAGGCCATTTAAAGACTCAGTTTACAAACTGCCAGTTGCACCAGCATTGTTGACGGAAAAACTCGAGTCAACTTGGGGTCTCCTTGACTGCTGATTGGAGTTGTTCATTCGTAGAGTTAAACCCCATTGACTTATATCAAAGTCTGCAAAAGTACCAGCCGTAGAAAACTGTTATTTTATTTTATTAAAGTCATGTCATGTAGATACACTGGACAAAAGTTATCTTTTTGCATGTTTACACCCACATCAGTTATGCCCCTGGTTTTATCTTTCATACTTCTAGAAGAGGCTCAGATTTCACATGGATGAATGATAATTAGCCACGATGTTCTCTTATTACAAGTCAGAACATGATGTCATCAGACCCTCTGCACAGAAACATAACTAAAGGCTTGTTTAAAACTAGAAAAAAATCAGTATAATTTCATACTTGTGATCCTTGAAAGGAAGTTCTCTCTTCACTCTAAAGGTCAGAGTCAGCGACAGAACAGCTCTTTTTGCAGCTGCTTTAGATTTAGTGTCTCGTTCAAAAACACTTCAATTAAGCTCATGATTGCTGACACTGAGACTTGAACCCGAGGCCTCCAGCTGAAGGACAACATCTCTGCTCACTGCATATCAGTGTGGAGACGAAAAGCCCTGTTCCCTAACAGGGAGCTCGGATTGGTTTTGATTGCTTAGCTGACATAATAATCATTCATTGAGTCACTCCCACTGATGAATAGACTAGACACCATCTGCCTTCTCCATTTACTACCATTCACATGCATTCAAATGATAAAACTCACTAATAAATTATACATCTCTAAACTTTGAACAAAAAAACAAAGTCATTGATCAAAACTGCAGAAGTTGCTGTAGCTGGCTGAGCTTGGTGGGAGGTTATAATTGAAAAATGAAGATGTGCACTAGCAGAGTATGCACACACAGGGCAGTGAATAATGTCAGTAAGCTTGTGGATATTAATGTTTAACCTCATGCAGCTGGATGTTTTGTCTGTCAAATAGAATCTGTGACAGTGGATCCTTTACTTACCACACGGTTGTAAAAAAACATAGATTGTATAAGAAGTGAATGTAGCCCTGGTAAAGTCACCCAATGCGTTATGACCTGCCAATTTGAAGCCTTAAGTTTGGCATTATAGTTTGGCAACAGAGGTCAATACAGGCAATACTCATCATAAAAACACCACAAAGACATAAATACATGCATATTAAACATAACTCACATGGATATCATCATGATGGCCGTTAGCCAAAGGGACCCTATTTGGGGCTTGAGGGTGGAGCTTGTTATCAAAGTTTTATTGATAGCTTATTCATTAGATGTAGAGAACAAAAAACGTTCTCTACAAAAAAGTGATGGAATTAGTGGCGATAGTTGACCGGGGTGCTTTAATAATTGGACTAAAATCTAAGATACAAAAACTCACACTTATCTCCCAATGGGAGGAATGAGCGGGGGTGAACGAAAACGACCAGGCTGCTTAAAAGAACCGACAACTGTCTTCTCTTTTGAGGACTGTCCAATCACAATCCTGACTCCAGTGATGCACCCCCTTGAGTTTGAACCATTTATAGCCTCACTTTTGCTGTCAGCCTCAAGTGGCCTATAAAGGAACTGCAGGTTTTTACACATACCCGGTGGCTTACATTTTCCGCCCTGGAGTCGGCCTCTTGGTGTCATCTGTGCTATGTGAGATAGTATTCAGTTGTCAGGGGTGTCAAGCACAGTGCATGTATTTGTTTACACGCATTAAACACATTTTATGCTACTCTGTATTTGATGTCAGCTATGATGATCATGGCCTTTTGCATGGATGGTGCTAGTAGTCAGTTCATAGGGTGTGTGTTTATTTATATATATATATATGTATATGTTTGTGTGTTGCTTTGCTATGAGCTGGCAGAATGAGTCATGCTGCAGACCCAGAGTGTGACTGCACCAACTGCCACTGCACACTCGCTCGATACGTACATATACATGTGCACTGAGGTCATGCTCAACACACACAACACTGAAATGAAAACCCTGCACTTCTTCTCTTCGTTTTCTTTCTGTCTCTCCCATCATGTGGACATCACTTTGGAGAGCTGTAGTTACTGATAACAAAACATGTTTCTGATAATGTCTCATGCTGTGTCAGACTTTACAAATCAATCACTTCTGAGATGAATCTGTAGAATAGTCCTAATCCTAACTTGAAAGTTTTTTGGGACCTCAGCACTACGATGTCTTTAACATCATTTGAGAAAAATAAAACTACTTGATTCATTATACATGATCAAGGTTTCAAAACTGAGTATGATTTGTTTTTGTTTTTATGATCTACTCTCAATTACAGCTCCAAATGAATCGTTTGAGCTGTAAAATGTCAAAATCAGAACACAATCATTTATCTTAGCCCAAGATGGCATCTCAAAGTAGCTTTTTATTGCCCAACCAACAATCATAACCCCATTTCAATTAACACTGATAAAGATAAAAGCATTGCAGATAAAATCCCCACGTTATGATTTTAAGTGCTCGAACCAGACAATATTTTCTTGATGAATTACTTTTTCATTCATCAGTATCATCATTTTTGTTCTGACATTTGCTTTCAATGTATTTATTGTCTTGATTACTTCAACAAAGATCCATTTTGTAATAGCAAACAAAGAAATGAGAGGGTGGTTTGATTTGCAGAACAGTGAAAAAATGTCATGTTTAATGTCACATCACACAGCAGTCATGTTCCTTTGACATCACGCATATGGTGGTAAGCTAAAATGTTGTTATCACGTCTTAGGCCCCGTGTCCACCTAGCGTTTTTTCCGGGCAGGAAAGCA